TGCTGCCGTGCTTAGGTTTTGTTGAGAGAATTTACCAACCGCAATCTCGTCACTTGGCAATATTTTCCGTTAGCTTGTTATTTGATAAGGAAATGAAATATATTTATTTCGTGGACCTCATAAATTAAAATTAGGCTTAGAGTCGTCGTATACATATGAATTTTGTTTGTCAAAAGCCTTTTATTCTTCAAATCAACCACCGTTTTTTTTTTATAGAATAGGGTGACAAACGAGCACACAGTTCACCTGATGGTAAGTGGTTGCTGCGGCCCATAGACATCTACATCTATCCTCCATTAAAAATCAAAATGCAGATGCGTTGTCACCTGTGAGGACTGAGATGGAATGCCTCGTTTCCAGTAAAAAGGGTCTCCGGTTCTCTACACTCACCATACGAAATACAGCAGCATTAAGCTACTATTTCACGCTGGTATTCTGTGAGAGCGTGGTCCTTCCCCGGTCGAGCCGACCCATTCGTGCTACAACTATACTACTAATATAACTGCAGCATGGCTCTACCACGTAAAATTAGGTTCCTCTAAACGGAGAATAACGTTTTGAAATTAGGTTCCTCTAAACGGAGAATAACGACAGAATAACCTCCGCATGTATAATTTTTTTGTTATTTTCAAGGATTAACACCACAGAGCAAAGTTTATACAAGAAAAATGATAGACTCATCGCTAGCTAGATCATGTCATAGACATACTTTAGAAGGTCGTTAATATTTGACTCGAGCTGACCAGCTCCTATAAGCAGCACATGTTCACAAGTATGACGTGTGCGGCAACCATCTCTTTCTTCGATTATATTAAAGAGATTAAAAAGACTTAAATCGACCCATGAAACGATATCGCCGTATCTCTCAAAAATCATAGAGTTTTGACGGTTTACGGGATACAATTGTAATTTCTTAGGAAAACACTTATTAAATCTATGAAGACATCGTGATGGGTTGTCTTTGAGTATTCAACCAACTGGAGAGGCCATGCGCGTTAATTTCTAAACAAAAATTCTGTCAACATCAGGGGAGCGCAAGAAAACACACAACTGTAAACTTAACTACAAATGCAAAATTAAATCCTGTCACTATAAACGCACACTACAACATTTGTGTTTGTGTTCATCGCGTTTACGCATACCATCAAATTGTACACGTGTCGCTACACTGATGGCGCTGCTAAATGCGTAAGCAACGTAAGGCGTGGACTATGTCGATGTTTTTTATCGATAAACAAATCACCATAGTTCGCATAAGTTTTTATTTGATTATAAGTAATACATAGATAAATAATACCAAGGTGTTATTTGAAATTCTTTTTTAAAGTATTTAGAAATTTTTATCGGAAAAAACTTAGAAATTATTGAAAATAAGTTTATTATTTTGCTACAGGTTTATTTTACATTATACAGGATAAAATTTTAAACATTTAACAAATCGAAATAGTTTTAGTTAACTTATTTTAAAAATCAGATTGTTAGAAAAGAAAAGTCCAATCAGTTTATCGTCTTAGATGGTGTTAACCAAGTTTTTGTTTTTATTATAAAGCTTCGTTATCACAAAACCGCTAATTAAAAATAGTTGTTGATTTTCAAGAGTTATTAAACGAACTGTCTGGTAAATATTTAATAAATTAGGAAAACAAACAAGTTTTACACTATATATAACAAAGTGAACTTTAAGCATACAGCTGCTTAAAAATAAAACGTGACATCTACCTAGGGCTAAGTATTCCCCAGAAATATGTTTTGCTTTAACTTTACATTACTATTCACCGAAAGCTTAACAATATGTGCGAAATATCAAAAGTTTTGAAATTGGTCTGCCTTTATCACATACGATAACAAAGTGGTACAGTACAATTTATGGCCAACTTGGCTACACAAAAAAAGCGTTAACTGTTTTAAAACTTAGACTAGAGAGTAACCCTGATAAGAAATTATATTGTATATTAGTGATAGATGAAATGAAAATAAAACAATTGACGGAGTACCATGCAAGTTCTAAAAGACATTTTGGTTATATACATAATGCCTTTGACTACTAGCATGGTATTCTGTCAATTGCTTAATTTTCATTTCATCCATTACCAAGGTACTATAAAAAAATTATCAGGGTTACTCTCCGCTCTCAATGTTAATGCCTTCAGCGCTTCTTGAGTAAACCCTGGTCGGCGATCGATGGTAGTGTACCACTTAGTCAATATACGGGTGCAGGCAAACATGTTCCAAAAGTTTTACGTACATAGCGACAGGCTTTTGGTGAGTAATAGTTAAGTGCTAGGGCATAGTATTTCTTGCAAACTTGTGAAGCCTGTTTATGCTATTGTTTTTTATGTCAAGGCATTTTTTCTTTCTAATTTTCCAGTGTTGGCTCTCACTGGCAGTGGAAGTAGGACTATTTCGGGCTATACGGAATTTTTTTTCGAAATGTGACTTTCGAGATAACTTATGGAATTTTGCCTGAACATCCATTTTTCTTTTTTCGATGTAGACGATATTGTGCAATCACCACGATCACCCTAAAATAAATAATTTTATTTTAGTATTTAGTAGTATAAATATATGAATTAAATTCGAAAGGTTAGTGCTTTTGCAAACTTAATGAAATATTTTCAATTATATCCTACTTTATTATATATATATATATATATATATATATATATATATATATATATATATATATATATATATCTTTACTATATTGGTATCAAAGGTAATAATAAAAATATTTAATCTAAATATAATTACAGCCCAACATTACCTCCCACAAGTTCAAGGTTGGTACTGCAGTGTCAGATTCATGGTTTCTACAAGCTACGATCCAAGTGTGCCGCCTAAGAGGATCTCTTGGAAATCTGTAATAACAAACCAATAATAGAAAACTTTACTACTTTTTGTAATACTTTATAATAAAATCTAAATAAAAACTACAAACCGGTTCGGCAGACAAACCCGCATGGTTAATTAACTTATCGATAGCTAAAGTTGCGGCGTTCATCACTATAGTGCAATACTTTCGGTTGCAGTGATACCAGTTTATTTTTATAAAAATTGCACACTTTTGCTGCGAGGTAGCAAGTTTCGATTTGACTTATTTGGCCTGTATTTTGTATAATATTTTAATAAATACTAGTTATCGATTATATTTATTTATATAATATTCAGTATCGTGTTAAAATTGAGCTGAATATATAAATCACTTAACAAAATCCACTACACATCTATATGTAATGATTATTATTCATCACAAACCGATTTAGTTATTAGAAAATATATTTTCGTTAATATATATAACTTGTGTAGTAAATTATATTTTTTAAAAAATAGATTATTTTTCACTTTATGAACTATGATGGCCACACTCGGTATTGGCGGATAATATTCACAAAGTACGAGTTTTAATGATAAAATTACTTTAATATTATGTTAAAAATACTCACAGATGAAAAGTCACATTGTCCTTTTGTATACTTGACGTTTTTGATTGTTTTTTTTTTTCATGTAAATACACTGCATTTCGGCATTTTGTCTGAGCTCGATTTAATGGCACGATCACTTCGAAAACGAAATGACGCACGACGCGGAGCAAGTAGTTTTATATAACGAGTAGTAGTAGTAGTATATACTTTATTGTACACCACACATATACAACGAATAAATACATTACAGAGAAAACTTAATATATACGTATGTACAATAAGGCGGTCTTATCGCTAAAGAGCGATCTCTTCCAGACAACCTTTGGGCTAAGGAGAAACTGGAATTAGGAACAGTAGGAGGTAACGAGTATGAGATGGACTCTCGTACCTTTTACAGAGGGGTATGCCTTGCGATGCCGTCTCCTTTGGTTTAATACTCAAAGGTTGTCGTTCTTCCCGCCGCACTGTATATAGTATTTGTCTGCTAGATCGCTTAAGGAGTTTAAATACCAAAGTATTTCTCTTCTGTAAAACTTACATTGTAGATACTTTTTATATATATGCAAATACATATTTATGGTGTCTATGATAAGCATAAGTATTTCAAATTGTTATTTAAATAACAATTTCGCTTAGTTTGGTCTATGCTCCTTCAAATTACAAAACATTAGTGTATACAGGGTCATTTTTAATTTACTAAATACCTTTTGGGAATATAATGGTGGCATAATTACAAACTATTTTGGCCAGATCACTCTTTACAGAATGTAATACATTTACATAAAAGCTACTTTTAAGTTTTTATTGTCATGACTGACTCCTTTTAAGTCTGTATTTTAAAAATCACAAATATTAAAATGAGCAATAGGTAATTATAAGGTATGACCTCTTCGACGCGCCGCCGCGCCGGTCGACGCTCGCGCTCAGCTGATTGTGTCGCCCACAGAGTACTTTATTTATACAGCCTACTAAACTATTCACCACTGTGCCTATGGTACCAGGGCGCCACTCCAAATGACAAATTTACATTAACTTTCATATACTCCTTTTTTGCATAAAGCAATTTGATTATTTTATTAATTTGTTTACGAATTTATAGACATTTTTTAATAAACATTTAGGTAGTTTGTTACGATCACTGCTTGCCAGTAATGCGGCCTTCGGATGGCAACGCTGCCTCCGGCAGTTAAGCATGGTTTAGACGAAGACAGCACTGGCTGCCAGTAAAACTGGCAGCCAGTGCTGGCTTGTTATTGGTCTCGTAGTATAAACAGTTTTCAAGACAAGCCAGCGCTGGCTGCTAGCACTGGCGGGAATAGAGCGCCTGTCTATTTTTCAAGCCAGTTACCTCCGCCCGCGTGCCCCGCAACCCCCGTGCCAGCGTGAGGATGCGTGTAGATGCATCGCGCCAGGCGCTGGCGCTTATCCATAGATTGTTGACGCATTTTGTTTTTGTAATAATTTCCGCGATGGCAAGAAAATTGAATGAGGATGAAACATTAAAATTTGTTCAGCTGTAGGTATAGAGAGCACGAATGCTTGTGGGATAAGAGATGCGATGCTTACAAAAATAGGCTAATGCGGGCTTCGGAAGCCCTGCGTGATGGAATGAATAAAAGACTGACTACCGATGAAGTGAAAACAAAAATTAAGAGTATTCGAAATACTTACTATTTGGAAATCGATAAAATTGAAAAATCTACAAGATCTGGGGCCGGGGGGCACATTTATAAGCCAAAGATAATATGGTTTGATGAATATGATTCATTTGTGAAGCCTGTTACAGTGAGAAGAAAAACAACTGTAAGTAAATATCATTTATTGTTTACTTTAGATCAACATTCATTACATTACGACTACAAAAGTAAAGTGAAGCTAGTTATCTTCGCACACACGCACTGAGGGCAGTTATATAATATGTTTGTGCGCTCTGCTAGTTTGAGTATTGACATTGCATATAAAATTATGTTTATTCTTTTTACTTAACTATGCCTCCTCGAACGATAAATTTACTTAGTTTAGTGGAGTACAGCTCGCGACAATCTTTTTGGCGGCTCTATACCCGAAGCTAACTTCCTAGCCGCCAAAAAGATTGACGCGGCCTGTATCAAAAAATCTAATTAGTTGTATTTGATTGAAATCGAATTTATTTTATTTTATATTATATTTGTTCAAGGATAATATTGTTAATGTATACTACTTAATTGCCAAGGAACACTTTCTTCGTTCATAAACATATTTTTATAAAGTTCTCTCTTCTCTCGTGCAATTTCTGCTGAACGATTGCTACCTTGATTAGCAATACTATCTAGGGCGTGTATTTGGCTCCTGACTCTGGCTGATCATTTCCCTCTTGATCTTTTTAATCCACAAAAGTTGTATTGATGTACGAATTTGATCTTTTTCGTAGCCAATTATGAAGGGCATAACAAGCACAAACGATTGCATCTGCTGTTTCCAACTTAGTTTGTATTGGCTTTTCTAATACCCGAAATCTACTAACTAAGATTCCAAATGTATTTTCGATTATACGTCTGGCTCGAGATAACCGATATTTAAAAACTTTTTGTTCTGTACTGAGATTACCACCTGGATACGGCTTCATTAAGTATGACTTTGGCGGAAAGGCCGCATCCCCGATAATCACTCCGTTGTCAGGTAATAATTTATTTTCCAGCTTTCGGTAAATTGAACTATTTTTAAAAAATCCTCCATCTGATGCGCTACCACATGCGCCAACATCTATATACGAAAAACAGTAGTCGTGATCGGCAATAGCTAACAATACGATGCTGCTTGTTTTTTTTATAATTGAAGTATAAACTTCCACTTTTAGGAGGAGCTTTGATTGACACATGTTTTCCGTCTATGGAACCGTAACATAAGGGGAAATCCCATCTTGTTTTAAACCCAGTTTCGATTATTTTCCATACTTCTGCATTAGGCACCTGTAAAAAAAAGGCAATTAAATTACTTTTTCTTTTGTTTAACTACAGGATAACACAGACGACTCGCATAGCGTATCTTCACATATCTCAACACACGAACAAGGATCATCGTCGGTTAATACACCGCGCTCGAAAAAGGGGGTAGAAAATTAATCAGAGACACCACCAACAAGAGGCGGAACAAGATACACCACAATTCACTCCACCCATAAAAAAAACTAAGCGGGGCAAATTATCCCAATTATCTGACATGATAAAAGATCTGAGAAACATTAATAACGAAAACACAAACACATCCATATGCAGCGAAGAAACAGATCTGGATATATTTGGAAAAGGCGTCTCGGCACAAATGAAAAAATTATCAAAGGAACAGGCAGTCATCTGTAAAGAAAAGATACAGAGTGTATTAACTCAATGCATGCTTGCAAATATACGAGCCAGAAATGCATTGCCTTTGCGTATTCCACAAATTTCTCATTCAATTCAGCAATCTCAAAATATGTCATCTATTCATTGGAACCCATCTCAAACCGATCTTCCTCCTATGCAAAGTCCAAGAGATGCTACAAGTTCTTCCACGAGTTTCCAGTACAGCGATGATAATTATACTGTTTTTTCCCCTGTGACTTTAAGTAATAACGATAGTCACGGCGAAAGCGTCACACAATTTGCGTTCAATAATGCTTAAAATTAATTGTTTGTTGGATTTTAATACAGTAATGTACCTATTTTATTTAATAAAATAAATAAATAAACACTTACTTTAATAAATTATTTTAATGATTCATAAATTGTTCGACAAACTTCTGGTATAAATATTGATATAGAAGGTTTGGAGACACGATAAAAATGACTCAGGCTTCGGTAACTCATTCCAGTAACTAAAAATGACAATGTTACTTCTAGCTTTATTTTTGCTGGTAATGCATCTCTCATTAAAGTATCTTTACGCTGAATCGAGCTATGTATAAGTGATAGTAACTCATCAAAGTTTTCAGTCGTAGTTCGCAGTGCCAATCTGTACTCGGAAGGATCTTCTAATCTTAGTTGTTCTAGCAACAAAGCGGAAGCTCCAGTTACAGATCTATCGCTTAGCCATTTTTTCATCAAAGTCTTTTATTTTTTACGATTTCTTCCTCTAATATATTGATCAACTCTTCTCTTAATAGTGCAGAGATATTCTTTATACATTTCTTTTTAACCGCCGTCTCAGTTGTCCCGAATTCATATTTTTAAATCACAAAACGTGTGCGCACCACAAGAATAATCCAGGAATGAAATGAATCCATTGGCCTCATCTAAACAACATGGGCTAGGCCAGCGCTGGCTTGTCTGAGGACTCTCGCCAGCGTTACTGGCTACGTCTAAACCTTGCTTTAGCAACGCCTCAAGCAACGTCGCACGTACGGCAGACCAAGGCCAAGCCAAAGGTATATTGACGTCGATACAGGCGTCATCAAAGGCGCCGCCTGCCCTTTTCGGTTCGCAGCACGTGCAAATTAAATGTCGAGTATTATTAGCTATTTTTTATTTATTAAATGCAAGTTGTATTTAAAAAATGGATGCGGGTTAAAATAATTACAAATATTACAATAAAATATTTATAATGATTAATATATTAACACACATTTTACAACAGTAATTGAATAAAAATATTTAGGTAAAAAGGGTTCAATAAAAATATTAAAATATATATTTATACATTAGAATTAGAGGTACTCGTCCGCGGATGGCGGTAAGTATCGCGCACATAGCGTTCAAAATAATCACCTCCACATTCTATGCATAGGTGACACCTAATTCCTGTTCACCGACACGAGATAAAAGTTGAGTATTCATTTTGATTTGATCGAATGCCCAAATTATTTTTCTTTCAACATGTCCCGGGTTTCGAGTGTGCGACCAGTATACACTAATGTCTTTACATGCCCCCACAAATGAAAATCCATTGGTGTGATATCTGGCGATCTGGGAGGCCAAGCACAAGGCCCGCCACATCCTATCCAGCGTCCAGGGTATTCTCTGTTTAAATAATCCTTAACTTGACGATCATAATGCGCCGGTGCCCCGTCAAGTTGATAAGAAATATTGCGTAGAGATGCAAGTGGTATATCCTCTAACAATTCTGGCAGCGTGTCGGTGAGAAAATTGTGATAGCTTTCACCATTTAATCTTTCTATGAAAACAGGGCCCAGTAACGTTGTATTAATAAGGCCTGCCAACACATTCACACTAAACCGGTGTTGAAAGCTATGTGATCTTGGTTTATGTGGATTTTCATAACACCACAAGTGTTCATTGTGCGTATTAAATAGCCCTATTCTGCCAAATGTTGCTTCATCAGTCCATAAAATGTTAGCTCGTTCAGCAGCTAGTAACCAATTACAAAATGTAACTCGCGCAGGTTTGTCAGCTTCGCTGAGTTCATGAACACGGAACAGGTGGAAGGGGTACTTCCCTTCATTGTGTATGACACTCCATGCGTAATATTGTGACACATTGAACTGTCGGGCTTCATAAGTTCTCGCTGCTGGATTTTCTTCAAAAAACTGCAGTATGTCTTCCTGCTCACGTTCTGTGCGCCGCGGTGGACGACCACGATCGTTAGATACGGGATGGAATTGCCCGTAATCTCGCAATCGCTGTGTAGCGCCTAGCATCGTAGCGTAGCTCGGTGCACGTGAGTTGGGAAATCGCCTTGAGTATTCACGGCAGGCTTCACTAACATTATCATTGCAAATTGCTAAAATTCGCACCATTTCGGTATACTCAACATTTGAGTATCGGTAAGCTATCGTAACAAGGTAACGTTCACAATAATCTCACAATGAAAAGACAAGCGTCGCGGGCGCATCAAAGGCGACTGACGACACAGGTTACTAATTAGGTCAAGTTTAAATGATTAGTCGCCCTACACCCCCTCCCTCGCCACGCGCTTTTTATTGCAAACTAGGACTATTACCGTTTAGAAGCTCCAATTAAAATATTATTATTTTTGTATGAAAATAAAAATTGAAGAAATATATATTTTTTCTTACAGATGTTGTTGTTATGGTGTAAATAATATATTCCCCAAAGGTCTTCAGTAAATTAAAAATGACCCTGTATATGTTACAGGAGCTGTAGTAGCTCACGCGCGCAACCATAGTTCGATCCCCGTCGGCTCATAAATGAAGTTGTTAAATGTAATTTTAAGTGCTGATTTACCCCGTGCTCGGCGCGTAAGGAAATCATTGTTAGAAAACCTGCATGTTTGAGAAATAAGAAAGAAATGTTACGAAGACATGTGAAGTTTGTCTATACGTAGAAGAGCCATGCTGCAGTTATATTAGTAGTAGGTATAGTTGTAGCACGAATGGGTCGGCTCGACCGGGGAAGGACCACGCTCTCACAGAATACCAGCGTGAAATAGTAGTTTAATTCTGCTGTGTTTCATATGGTGAGTGTAGAGAACCGGAGACCCTTTTTATTGGAAACGAGGCATTCCATCTTAGTCCTAACGGGTGATAACGCATCTGCATTTTGATTTGTAATCGAGGATAGATGTAGATGGCTATGGGCCGCAGCATCCACTTACCATCAGGTGGACTGTGTGCTCGTTTGTCACCTTATCCTATAAAAATGCATTGGGGCAGCGCGACGGATATTTCCTTGTCCTAAAAGCCCTCTCAGAAATGAAAGAAGTCCTGCGCCTAGTAGTGGAATGTACTCGTATATAGGTTGTAACTTTAACTTTATGTTACACAATATCTTCGTGAACAATGGTCAACTGATTTTAATGATTCTTTAATAAATAGGTTATACTTTAGGCCTAGTCCCATATAAATTTTGAGAAGAAATTCCAGGGTAGCAAAGTAGGGGATCAAATGTTTTAACTTTCTTCTATACAAATATCTTAGCACTGACTGATGAATGTAAATTATTATGTTCTTTTTAGTTCTATAAAGTCTGCTTTTACTTTTGATAAAAGTAATTTTTTAAGCTGTATTAGAGCTTCCACAAAGCACGGTTTCAGTTGGTTAAGGACTGTGCTGTAGTGGCAGTGTAAGAATATCCACTGCCCCGTGTCATCCCGTGGGTGTCGTAAGAGGCGGCAGAGGGAAACTTATCAGGAGATGGGCGGCAGCGTCTTCTTAATAACGACTGGAAATAAAAATCTGCGATTGTAAGCCCGTTTGCCACGCGTGGCAACTATGGCAAATATCCCCCTATGAGGCAGTCTAAGGGGTAGGCCTATGTTCAACAGTGGACTATAATAGGCTGTAACAATAACGGTAACGGCTGACGATGACAATGAATGCCTGCCAAAGGAGGGAAGCCAGTCGACCAAGCTGGTTAATAAATGTTGGTTCTCCGCACGTCAGACAGATGCGCTTCTTCAGTAGTCCAATACGATCGCCTCATCAGGTCCTCAATCTATTAAGTGGGTCAACCTGCTCCGTGCTTTATGATAACCGTCATCATATTCTTCTTCATTAATTTTTAGATAGGGTTTGCTATAATTACCACACGTATCAGGTAATTAAGGGACCGCTACACACCTTGTAACTGCGCTTTCTGCAATGCTTTATATTATATAACATAAGGATTTTTAATAACTTCATGAATGACATTGCAGTATATTATTATCCTAGCTAATCTAACTTTCGGACTACCAACTTTATTACTTTTTTTAAAGATCGATAATGAAAATCATTTATGAAATCATATACAGTCATCTATTAGAAGCCATTAGATTTATCTAAGATATAGGTTTTCTTACCTTCTTACTCATGCAACAAATAAAATAATTTATAATTTTCATCTTATATACCGATATTTTAAATACATATTACACAAGATTTTATTGTTATCAAAAACCTCAAACATATTTTCATAGTAAATAATAACGGCGGTGCAATTATAGATATTGCCTTACGCTAGCCTAGGCTTACCCGAATTGCCTAGATCGAGATTTGATTCCTCCTAACTAGACGTCACAATCCGTTTACCGCAGTTGGCGCGACTATTGAAAAATGTTCTAAAACGACCACAGTTTGCGGTTTTTATTTGTAGTTACCGAAAAATTATTTATTTAATTTGAGTTTTACTGACTGAAAAGTATTATGTTGCAAAGAATTCCTTTTTAACTGTAAAAAATACGATCACAT